CAATTCCCTTGTTTGGCAAATAAAGCTCAGAATTTATTAAATTATGCATGAAAAAAATCGTGGAAATTGAGGCATCAAATTCCCAAGTTTAATTTCCACCAAAATAGGCATCATTTCACAATTTCCATAGTGCAATTTATAAAATTCAACATACATAAATCCAAACACTGAAATCTTAAATTGCTAGAAATTAAAATGATGAAAATTAAATTCCTTCATTTTAAAATTCTATGTAATTTTCAATTCATTCATCCAAACGGGAGGTTATTTGTCGATGTTATAGGCACTCATGAATCTCCAAACAGATTCTCGAAAAAAGAAAAACAATCCCGAACCGTTGGACTCAATTATATTAGGCTGCTATGTAAGATTCTGGGTCTCAAATGTAGGCCCATATCTGACTGTATGTTTGGTTAAGCCAAAGTTAGGCCCAACGGGCCACATGAAAAAACCTAACGGTTGGCCTGCGTCGATTTCACGCAAATAACCAGACGTTCAAAATTCAAATCTCAGCCGTGGTCTTTAAAGAAGGAAAGATTGATTTGAGTTTCACATTGAATCTTGAGACAAGCCAGACTGCGCAGAAGTTTCGCATCCAAAATTCAAACTCAGGTTGGTATTGTTTTTCTTGTTCCTTATGGTAATATTCTGCAGAAGTTTTGGGTTTTGATTTGGGGTTTTAGGGTTTTCTAGAGTCTTGGATTTGTGTTTCCTCTGGGTTCTAGGTTTTTCTATTTCCTAGCTCCATTGGGAAACGATGCTTTAAATGATTTTGTCTTTGGATTAGGTTTTATTCTGTATATAAAGCGATCAATATTTTGATTTTGAGATAAACTGCTCTTTGGGTGCCTTTTTTGATTTTGGCTTTCCATTATATATTCGATATATAAGTTTCAAGTTAGGTCATTGATTCCTCTGATATTGTTCTGGAAATTATTTCGCAAAATTCCACAAGAACTTTGTATTCTCATCTCAAGACTACAAACCCTAACGCTGGTTTTTTATATTTGTCTGTCTCTTTGTAGAATACAATGAGGAAAGGAGCTAAGAGGAAGGTCAGCCAGAGAGAAGACAACAAGGAAAACTCGACCAAGCCAGACAACCACAAAGAACATCCCAGCAAGGCCACCACTCGATCAAAGCGGGTCAAGGCCTCCCACCCTGAATCCGAGCCAGAGTACTTGGAGGAGCCCCGCAACTTGGAAGATCTCTGGAAGGCTGCTTTTCCTGTTGGGACAGAATGGGATCAATTGGACGCGGTGTACCGGTTCAAGTGGGATTTCTCAAATCTGGAACAAGCATTTGAAGAGGGGGGCAAGCTGTATGGGATTGGGAACAACAAAGTCTATCTCTTTGGTGGTACGGAGCCTCAACAAGTTCCTTTCAAGGGTAAATTGGAAATTGTTTACATACCTATTGTGGTGGCTGTTGTATCACCTTGCCCACCTTCTGATAAAATTGGGATAAAGTCAGTTCAGAGAGAGACTGAAGAAATAGTTCCAATGAAAGAGATGAAGATGGACTGGGTTCCATATATTCCTCTGGACAAGAGAGACCGCCAAGTTGTGGAATATGGGCGAAAATCTCCTCAAATATTTGTGTTGGGATGCACTCAGAGAAGGGCTGCTTTGAAGCACATGAAGATAGACCGTCTAAAGAAATTTGATTACTGCTTGCCATATTTGATGCCGATCAAGGAAGAGGAGCTTGAGCTGAGCACTGAGGTGGACATACTTTTCCCAGCAGAGCCAAATCCACCGGTTTACTGCGTATTTGATTGGCAGTTTGATGAAGTTGAGGAGTTTGCCGATGATCGGATAAAAGAAGAGGAACTATCTGCTGATCAAAAGGATGCCTTCATGGAGTTTGTCAAGGAGAAAGTACGCCAGCAAAAGAGAGAGAATCGAGAGAAAAAGGAAGCCCGCAGGCAAGCCTTTGAGAAAATGAGTGTGGAAGCTAAAGCAGCATTCGAAAATTTGAAGTATTATAAGTTCTATCCGGTGCAAACAGCGGATACTCCTGACATATCAGCTGTTAAGGCTTCATACATCAACAGGTACTACAACAAGGCTCATGAGGTTCTCTGATTTCACTAAGATCCTTGTTTGGCCTGTGCCTCCTACTGCTGCTACAGTAATTGAACCTTCAGGCTCATGAGGTTCTCTGATTAGTCCAAATTTTTGTAATCCTTTTGTTATTTGAACTCATTGGAAATTATATAACACAAGGTTTTATTTCCTCATTTAAATTATGATCTCCTTTGCTAATAAGAACTACATAAAACCCAACTTCACTTGGGTGCTTCTCCATTGCAATCTTGAGTGCTTGCTATTTCCCAGATTCAATTGTTCTTACAACTTTCCCAAGATTTTCAGCTCAGACTCCTCAATTTGGGAATTTGCTGCTGCAACTCTCGTGTCAGCAAATCATCAACTAACACCCCATTGGTAATAGCCCATGTATATTGACTTGATGATTTGTTGAATCTCTTCCTCATCAAGTTAAGACTAAACCTGACACAAATGTGTTCCTGTCATTTTCGTTCCATGTGAGATTACGATCAATTCAAACTCGACACGTTAACTTGTCATACTCAAATATATGAACCGAAACACAATCGCAAATTTTGCATATCATGTCGTGTTTCGCCCATTCCACCCCCCCTTTTTAACCCAACCACCCAAGTATAAAATGTTAAATTTCAAATAATATCTAGTCTAATTGTGATTTGGTGTAAAAATATTCATGTTCCTGACTGATTAATTTTAATATTTCAGTGTTTATATATATATATATTTGAGAGACACCCTTATAGGCAATGGCAGAGCCAACTAAGGCCCACAAGGGTCAGCTGACCCTCCTCCAATTTATGCAACAAATGCATTTGTTATGTGTTATATTTGATTTTCTTGGGTTTCTTTTATAGATGACCCTTCTAACTTTCTAACTCTAGTTAATTATTATTCTTTACTTCTATAGTTTTTCCTATATTTATCTTTACTCCATTTTTCCTTTTAACTTCAATCTTTCTATTCTTTCATTTATTGAGTTCTCTTACAGTTTTTGTTATTGAATCGGTCATCAGTCAAGTAAATTTCTCAATACTAGCTATTCATTCTCTTTTGAGCAATGCTTTATGATTTGATTCCTGTCAAATTATTTCTTTGTAATTTATTGTGCGATGCGGGTTATAATTTTGGAAGATAACAAATATATTATGTTAATATTCACAGTTTTCTCAAGCTAATAATATTGACTCTCCTTGAGAGAATTTCTTGCTACGCCACTGAGAAAAAGCTATTCACTTCAAGCCAATCATCGCAGTGGGGCTTTGCACAACCTTATCAATTAATTACTTGTTTTTTATTTTAATTAATTTGACAAGTTTTCGGCTGTTTTGACAAGTTTCCGCACTCGACAAATGAAAACGTCTTCAATTCAACACACAACACCTTCTAAAGTAATTTGGAGACTCGTAGCATTTTGACGTAGACCTTTAGGGTAAACTAAAGTAAGGATAACTAAGGGTAACCACTCAATTTTCATTCAAAGTTTTGCTTTTTATAAGTTCAGAAACCAGAATCTCCAACTCTTGCCGTGCTTTCGTCTTCTACATAATTAATGTTGAGAGTTTCACTTCTGATATTTGAGGAATCCCTCAAAAAGTTCATATAAAATTATATACATCAAGGTTGCAGTAAAACTATGAGATTGATTCTTGCATTGTTTCCTTTTCCCTCAAATGGGAATGTCACCAACCTAATGAGTTCACAAGGCCTCATAATGAGAAAACTCGCACAATAGCTTGAATTGAAACTCTCAACAATTTAACATTATTATACCACATGATGGTCACTTACCTTTTTTTTTATAAGGTTTTTTTTATAGAGAAGCTTACTTTTTTTAGAGACATTTTTCCTTTTTTTTTTTTTTTTTGGAAGAAGAAGACGTGGTCACTTACCTTTTATTTTTGTAACAAAGATGAGTTTTATTAATTCAATAAAGAAAGTACGAAAAGCAGAAACAAGTGAAACAGTAAATTGAACATATACGAGATAGAAATGTAATTTGAGAAATGTACTTATAATTATAAAAATAAAAATAAAATATAGTTGCCCGCGTAAAAATAAATACAGGTTTGTATTAATAATACCCATGATTTTTCGGGCTCGCGTTAATTTTACGCGGGAGCTGATTTCAAATCTCAGCCGTGGGATAAAATCAACGGTTGTGATCTAATATGTGACCAACACTTGAAGATAGACCGTGTCATGAAATTTCAGTAATCGTTGCCTTATTTAAGGCAGATTGTGGAAGATGAGGAGGAGCAGAGCACTGACTGAGGTTGATATACTTTTTCCACAAGACCCAAATCCGCCGATTCTCTATGAGTTTGATAAAGTTAAGGAGGTGGCCGATAAGCTGATAGAAAATGAGGAATTGTCTAAAGATCTAAAGGATGTCTTCATGGAGTTTGTGAGGCAGAAAGTGCGAGAAAAGAGGAGACATAACCGAGAGAGAAATGAAGCCCGGGAAGAATAATGGAAGAAATGAGCCAGCGAGAGATGAAGATATGAGGATTTACAACTTCTACCCCATACAAACACCACAAACCCCCCCCATAACTCTCTGGACTCGATACATTAACATATATTACAGAAGTGCTCATGAGGTTCTCTGATCTCAAGAAATGAAGATATGGAATCCCAAGCCTTGTTTGGCCATATTAAAATTCTTGTTTGTGTTCTGGTGCCTGTGCAAAATCTTCCATCGAGTTCGGTTTTGTCTGAGTACAAGTTATATATGTACATGTATGTGTTATATATCAATATCATCAATGTAGAACTCAGTTTTAGTTTCAGCATTAGCGGCATCAGCCCTTGATGAGTTTAGAACCATTTCAGTTTTAAGGGTTTATTTCTTAGGGAATTACCATTGAAGATGATAGATGTTTGAAGTGTGCGTGAGTTATATATACAATTATGCATCAATCATGCAAGAAGCTCAAACCCAAATTCTTTCATTACAGCAAATGCGAATCACTTGTTTTACAAGAGGTCTGACTTCAACATTTCAAGCCTCGTACACAATATACAGAATCCTCTTATTCTCTCTCTCAATTTACCAGGCACCAACTATATAACCGTATTGCTCCAAAACCAACCCAGCAGCCCTTACAATGAGCAAAACTATATCACCCAATCAACTTTATCATACAATAAATAATTACCAATATCAACATGTACACTCAAGTAAACATATGTCAGATCGGATCCGGCATTTACCGTCACTCCCGGAGAGAAATCACCCTGTGAAAAATGAAGAGTTACGTTGACTTGTTTTGATGCGCCTTTCTTCTGGCCAAAAACATAAAAATCCGTGGGAAGAAGGACTTCTTTTTCTTCTTTACATGCTTTGCTTCTGGCGCATTAGTTTCAATGGGGCTTCCAAGTCCATACTTGGGGCTTGAAGATACAGCAGAAGGCGCCCGATCAAAGTTCTTTGATTCTTTCTTTCCCTCAAAACTAGCCCTTGGGCTTTTAGTGGGATTTACTGCTGCCTGGCCAGATTCACCAAGCTTTCTTTGTTGCTCATGGTCAGCCCTCCAACTTCTCAGCTCCTGTTCAACACCCAACTTCCCTTCCTTGGCCTTCTCAGCCTTCTCCATTGCGATCTTGAGTGCTTCTTTTCTCGCAGCCATTTCCCGATTCACTTCATCCAACTTTTCCAAGCTTCTCAGCTCAGACTCCTTGGCCACTTCGATTTGGGAATTTGCAGCTGCAACTCTTGTGTTTGCCTGTTCTTCTGCCTCATGGGCCCTTTTGCTGAGCTCATAATACTCCCCTATAGAAAGCGTTACCCCAATGGGTGAATCATTGCTGCTTCTAGCTTGTTCACTCTCTTGCAAAGCTTTAATTGCTGCTAACGCCAACTTTTCCGAAGCCCTTGCCGCCTCTATTTCCTTTTGTGCTGCGAGTAATCTACTTTCCATAGTACTCGCTCCAGCCTTTGCTTGCTCTGCTTCTTCCCTTGCCTTGCGAAGCTCTTCAAAAGCTGTTCCAGCAAGTACCTTTGCCTGGTCAGCCTCTTGTGCTGCTTGCTGTAATTCTTTGGGTAGCTCCACCATCTTCTCTCTGGCTTCTTTCTCCTTCATCTGAACAACAGCTATTTCAGACCTGGTCTTCTCCAGGTCAGCTTCAAGAGATGCAACAGCCACCGATGCCATTCCTTCTCTCTGCCTAATGGTGGCAAGAGCTGATTTCTCACTTTCAAGTTCCGATTTTAATGATGTGGCAGCCACCTTCAAGCAATTTACTTCAGCAACTGCTTTCTCTATGTTGAGCTTCACTTCCTCAAGCTCCTTCTTTGCAGAAGCAACTGCTGCTTGTATATCGGTATGAGTTTTCTTCCCTGGTTCCTGTAGCTCATCTTTCAAGTTTCCTCCATCACTTTCCACCTTCAATCTTGATTCCATATATGCAGCTAATTCAGATTTTAAATCAAGTAGCAAGGCTGAGGCTGTGTCTAGTTTTGACTTGAGATCCTTAGCTGACAGAATTTGGTGGTTAATTTTCTGAAGCTCCTCTTCTGCCTGCTTTAACTCCTTCTCCCAATGAAGAGAATCTTGTTCCTTGGCCATGACTGCTCCAATCCTTTGCTCCTCCGCTTCCAAATGGGCAGCATGCGCAGCCTCTAATGACTCCTTTGTGGCAATCAGCTCAATAGTCAGTTCTTCCACAGTTTTCTCGACTTCCTTGGATGCAGAAATGGCCTCTTCAGCTTTTTTAATAGCCATGTCCTTCTCAGTCACTAAAGAAGCATATTCCTTGTGCAGTGCTTCCAGCTCCTCTTTAACAGATTTCAGCTCTGTCACTGCAGCCGTATGCCTCGCCTTAGCAACCTCAAGCTGTGCCTTGGCTGCAACACTAGCTTCATCAGCAATACCTTGTTCCATCTCTTCCACCCTTAGTTTGGCAAGTTCTGAGTCTTGTTTTGCCTGTTGTTCTTCTGTTTGTGCTCTCTCCAGGTTGAGCTTCAATTCTTCCACGAATCTCTTAGTGCTGTCCAGCTCCTTCAATACTTGAACCTTTGCTTTTTCAGCAGCCTCTGATTGTTTCCTATACTCAGGAATCTCCTCCTGTGCTTTCTCAAGTTCTTGCTCCACAATCTTGCGTCTCTGCACAGCCAATGAAGAAACTAAGGTTTATTTTTTAAAACAAAGGCACGGTTTCTGATTTCAATTTGAAATTTAAAAGCGAATTTGGGAGAACATCAAATCACAGCTCCATTATGGATTCCCCCCAAACAAAAAAACAGGGGTCACTTTTAACACCAAGAAAAGGCAAAACAAAGGTAATAAACAAGAAAAGAAAAGAAAAGGAAACACGGTATAATGAAAACAAACCAAACATACCTCCACAGTTTGGATCCTATGGGCTTTCCAATCAACAATTCCTCCAAATTTGGAAACAGCTTCTTTAACGGATTCAAAAGGAGCAGTTGTATCAATAAGGCCTCTGTTCTTAGCACTCTTAGGAGAATCAATGGCTCCTGATCTTCTCGCAGAAAAGCTAGCGAACTTTACATTGGGTGATGAGACTACATTGTTCACATAAGCCAGCTTAGCACTCTTAGGAGAATAACTGGCTTCAGATTTTGTAACAGTATTTCTGGCAACCTTTATATTGGGCAGAGAACGCCTAGTGGACGTCACAACATTGTCCCCTTTCTTAGGACCAGAATCTTCCACCACAGTATCCGGAGTATCTGTCTCTGTTTTATTGACTGTAGTTATTGAAGCTGATGATGAAGTATCTGTTGGAAGAAGATGATTTTGTTCTAGAGATGGGCTATTTGAACCATGGTCGACATTTTTGGGACCAGAATCTGTCACCTGAGTATCTTTCTCTGTTTTATTGACTGTAATCATTGAGGTTGAGGCCGGGGTATCTGTTGGAAGAAGTTGATTCTGTTCCAGAGAGGAGCCACTTGAAGCAGGTTCTGCAATTGGTAATTTACCATTTGCTATTGTTGATGAGCTAGAAGCTGGGTTATCAGCCGGAAGTAGTTGATTTTGTTCCACAGATGCGCTATCAGAAGAACTTTGTGCAGTTTCTAATTTAGAGTTGTCCGTCGTTAACAAATGACTCTCACTGTCATGTTTATCATGGTGGGAGGATGAAGAAGATTCTGGAGAAGCCATTACTTCCGCAGTTTTCACAACCTCCATTCCAAGAAAGAAAGTGGAAAGGACTGCCAGGTGCGAATCTATAATCCAAGTAAATAAAATAAAATGGATCAGCAAAACAGAGAGACTAACAATAGATGAAAAATCATATGAAAATCAATCAATCAATCATGAAATCTTCAGTTCCATTAATGCATAAAAGCTAAGAAAATCATAGTCTCTAACATAAAGGAGCTTATATATAATATATATTGCAATCTTGTAACATATTACAGTCACACACATAATCAATCTTTTTTTGTAAAATATTCTAATGGTCAATATCATGTTCTTTGAAACTAGGAGGGATGCAAATTTAATCAAATAGTATTGATAATAATAAATACAATTTCAATCCAGAACCAACCAATTTGAATCTGCCTACGCATAGCGTATTTGTGCTAAGAAATTACTATTCAGAATTTCCTGGTGTTGTTTTGACTTTCAATTATCAAATTCTTAGGAAAGAAATTAAATTTGAAAAAATAAATTCTACCAGTTGCCAGGCATATAAGGAACATAAACAATTGAAATGCAAGCTGAAATCTTCATATAGAAATAACAACAAAGAACATCACATACTCACTTAAATCATCTATTTGAACATAAATTCAAATTCTAATCCAAAACCCAGCTGAGAATTCAAACATAAGTGTAACCAGAGCTGTTTGCACATAATAAAGCTTCAAGCTTGAAGAAAAAAAATTAATTAAAACAAGAAAAATATATGAAAAAATAAAGAAACTCAGAGCCAAAAAGGTAAAAAGGAGCAGAGGAACGTACCGGAATGACCAGAAGCGATGGGAGGAAAGTGGGATTGGAGAGACGATATTAAAGATTGCTGGAAATAGCCAAAAAAATACAGAAACGATTAAAATTAGCAAAATTGTGTGTAGAAGCAGCGAAGAAATCGCAGCTAAAAATAGTGAAGAGAAAAATAGTAGCGGGGAGAGCAGAGATGAGTGGAGCCTACCTCGTCACACGGACTAGATCCATCTGTACGCTCTGTCTTCCAATCTCAGATTTTTCGAATTTAATTTTTTTAATTTTAGGAATTTAATTTCTGTATTTTCGTGGCGAGCTCAGGCTGTGGTTTCCATGAACTTCATAATTAATCTCTTCTTTTTTTCTCGGGTTTTGACCGAAATCGGAAAGCCAGGGAGGCTTTGAACTTTCATTGGATGGTTCGGCTCAGCTCAGCTCAGCTCAGCTTATCTGCCCCTTCCCTTTGTATCCAGCTCACCACCCCTCAAATAAAAAGAAAAAGGTAAAAAGGTATATTTTCCACTATTTATAGTATTAAATTATTAATATATGAGACCACTTTTTTTTTTTTTTGGGTGGTGTTTTGTTACTGAAATTTATTAGCTAATTTCCTCAAAAACAAAATTAAGACAAGTTTATTCTAATATTTCTTTGAGAAAAGCATATGTTAGTTAAGCCAGTTAGCTAAAGTAATGTGTTCGTCTCTTTACATTCGAGTTTGATCCCCTTCTATTATAAATTTATATTACGGTAGTTTAGAATATTACCCTTATCAAAAGATTTTAATATATATATATATATAAAAGTATTTATAATTGTGTTTGCTTTGTCTAGTGGGTCGCTACTAAGAGACATGTATTAGTTAGAGAAATTATTCATATGATTACGTTGAAATTTTGATTTCATTGACGCAAAAGAAAATTAAAGTCAATGCAAGAAAATTGCATATTATCTAAAATTTTGAATTTCCTGACATTGCATTGGATTGGAAAACACACACACACACACTGTTTGCAGCAATTTAAAGATAAGATATAAAAATAAATAACGACACCGCCCACCGTGGATTATGTCTTTACCTGCCTGGTAGAATGTGGAGATACTCTTTTTCAAAATGACTATTTAGCCCATGCAACGTTTTCTTTCGGAGGTCAAATAGTGAAACTAGTAGTTTTATCTATTTTTAATTGCTTTTTATAATTCAACAAATATCAAGGAAAATAATTTCAAATATCATATTAATTTTAGCAAAGTTCTCAAATATAATTATTATTGATACTGTTGATATTGTCTCCTTATTTTGATAATAAATAGTCTTTATATTACATAAATAAAATATCAATTTTGGGTCAAAATTGTCGACTTTCTCTGTGAATGATGAATGACGTGAGTGTTGTGTTAACTTTATTTTAGTAGAAATAATTTTGAAAAATAAAAGGAAGGTTTTGTGAAGATGGGCAAATAGGTAAATAGGCCTGGACGTGTTGTGTTAACTAGGCGGTTGCATTGCATGTGTGTAGCATGCGAAATAAATGTGGACGCGGCCCAACGGTCCGAAATCCGAAACCCTCGTTTCGTTTCGGCAAAAAAACTTCGGCTTCCAGAATTTGAATCTCGCAAGTTTGGTGTCGTGTTGGTAGGAATGACATTCCCAGAGTCCAACAAAAAGAAGGAAAGAGAATCTTCCATTTCTATGCACACACAGCCCAAATGCATGTGGTTGTCCATGGAGTTTCTTCTACATTTGTTTCAGCCCATTAACTTGTGTGGTAACTCTTTTCACACCCAAAATATCATTCATTACACCAATTTAAATTCATAATACCATTTTTATACTCATTTGTCCAATTTCTTTCCTCTTCCTTCCCCTGAATGTTTCATGATTATGTTGAGCTGGTTTTACACTAACACCTCTTATGATTTTTGGTATTTTTCAAAAAAATTCCTGAAGTTTTACAAATTATACAAACATTCCTTTAGGTCTTAAATTGTTTTCACAAAACCCCTTTTCATTGATTTTTTTTGTCTAAAAAGTAATAATTTTATATACAAAATTTCTTCAAATGACAAAGTTGGCCTTTAAGATTAGATTGCACATACATTCGTTGAGATTAATTTTGTTATTTGCAAAAGTTTTTATGTATGAAATCATCAAATTTTTGGATGTAGAATAAATGAAAATGGGTTTTGTGAAAACAAATTGAAATCTTAGGGTGTGTTCATGTAAGTTTTAAAATCTTAAAGAGTTTTGTGGAAACACCGAAAACCACAAGAGTGTTTGTATAAATAACTCTTTTAGTAATAGCAACCCATAATTTCCCAAATGGAAGCAAAAAAAGGTGAAAAATAGTAGATGGCCGCTCAACTGATTCTATCTATTATATTTGTAATGGGGTGTATATTATATTATAATAACATTTCTACCTACTCCCAAAGATTCTTTTTCTTTGCTGATCATATCAGATTCATATGGATTTTTAATTAAGACTTAAGTCACTTAATGCTATTTAATTAAACTAATAAACCACAATTTGGCTTTCCTAGTTGGGGGTTGTTTTTTTCTTCGGACATTATGCGTGTGTTTTCTAAGCATACATATACCATATATGATACTTTAGTTGGTGCACCTAAACAGTTTTGTTCAACCAAATCTTTCACCATCCGATCCTTGCCTTCCATTACACCCAATCAAATTATTAAGTTGCTCCTCTTAATCTTAATGATGTTTAGTGGCCAACTAACAAACTATTTAATTGTGCGGCAGAGTTCGTTAGCACAGTAACAAAAGTCAATCGGCATTTTTAAAAAAAAAATTTAGATAAAAATTTGCACAAAATAACTCTTAATAGCTTTCTTCCATAGTATGATATAACCACCACGGGCGGAGCCAATTAAGGCCTACAAGGGTCACTTGACCCTTCTCACTCTTTGATAATTTGTTTTTGTATGTGTTGCATTTGACTGAATTACTTTCTATATATATACATGGCTGACCTTTCTCATCTTTTGAGTTTACTAACCTTTTCATTTTCTCCTTTCTTTGTTTACTGTTTAAATCCTATAACAATTAAAGTACACTACAAAATCCCTCTTGGCTCTAGTAATATCTTTTTTCTAACACATAAAAACACCTCATAATTCCTAAGATTTCTCGTGATTTCTTTAATCGAATGAGCCAATTAATTACGCAAAATTCTCACTCTCGCTATTTAAGATTGACCCTCCTTGATAAAATTTCTAGCTCCGCCAATCAACATGTTTGTTCAAGTACCATAACCCAACTTTGACTCTACAAGTATGTCTAATCAAGTAATTATAATGTGATACTGGAGTACGTTCATATTTTATGTGAAAAATATGCGCTTTTTTTTTTATGAACAAATATGCGCTGTTTCGATCGTGTACATGTATTATTAACACATAAGTTACAAGTTAAAAACAAAGACGTTATCTCAAATACATATGAGAATGTGCATATACATGATATGTATTTCTACAAAAACAAAAACAAAAAGGGACAAAAAAAAAATTAATATGGGCAAAGAAAAAAAAAACAAATTCTTCTATGCCACCAAATGCTTCCGTCTAGGATCAGTGACATTGATCTTCCAGTGCTCATCAGGAAACCCAAATTTCCTCGCCTTTCTCCGTTCCCAGTCCAAATAAGTCCTCCTCACCTTGGTCAGCCCACAAAACCTCTGCAACCTCCCGTCCATGGCGTCGTGCACCCTCCACCACCGCTCGTGCGCAACGTCACTGGCGTAGACGCGCTGGTCCGCCACGTCCCAGTTACAGTCGTAATCCCTGTAACAGAGCCACGGCTTCCACCCCAAGTAATGTATGGCGTAGAGCTTTGGTGGGTCCGCCCCGAACAGCTCGTTCTTCACGCTGGCCTCGTTTGTCGTATTCGCCCAGAAATTCTTCAGGAAATTGACCCTCCGCGGCAGCCGGTGCCACCACACAAAGACCTCGTTGAGGTAGCCCTGGTCGCCGCCGTTGTACGAAACGATGTCTTCGCGGTGGTCCATGAGGAAATTGAACGTGCAGTTGGATGGCTCGATGACCATGATGCCGGAGTTGAAGAGGTACACGTCGTTGCCGGTGGCCGACATTTGGGGGAAGTGGAAGAGGAGGTCGAGGTTGCGGAGGACGATGATGTCGGCGTCGATGAAGATGACTTTGTTGTATTCAGTGAGCTGCCAGAGGCGGAACTTGCTGTAGTTGTATTCGTTGTAGGTGCCGTTTTCGGCTCTCGGGTTTCGGATCCTTTGGATGAACCGGAGCTTCCAGCCAGCAGCGGAGAGAGCGGCGCGTTTGGAAACGGGGATAGAGTCGTCTAGGAGGAGAATAAGGTCGCGTTTGGTTCCGGTTTGGAGGAGGCTCCTTGCCAGGGTTATGGCGCCGCAAACGTAGGAAGCGGAGGAGTGGAGAACTGTGACGTAGGCTTCTCGTTTGGGTTTGTTTGTTGTGCTTTGGATTTTAGTCAGATCATAAACTTGATCAATTCCTATAACAAATTAAGCATTCCTCATCAATTATGAGTTTTTTCCTATCACATTATTTGATCTAAATTCATATTTGTTTATGTCTCCTCCGTAACTTAATAGGTGAGGAGAAAGATAAACACATTTACACAAACAATAAAAGACTAAAGAATGAGAGCATACCTTGTTGTCCCCATATAGGCAAAGCCAAATTGCAAGAGCCAATAGGCAATGACATCTTTTGCTGCAACCTAGCCATATCTGGCTCAAACAACCACCAATTCCCTTCCTGTCTCACCAAGTCATTGCACCTAAATATTTCCAACATTGGTCTACACTTGCTCCATAGCACCACTTTAGTTGTCTTCCTATTCCAATCCCTCTTTCCTTTCTTCACAGCCAGATTTGCCGCTATGAGATGAACTTGGAGCCTAAACACCTCCCTCCTCCACCCTTCCTCCGGATACTTGCATGGCAATTTTGCCACCACCATGTCCATCTTTTCGTAGATTCGAAAATCGGGCATTGGTATCTCCGGACAAGTTGGGACATCACTCTCTTCCTCTTCGTCGATCCACTCGGGAAATAAATCATCCCATTTGAATAACTCCGAGACCTGGTCGAAAAGGATGGGTACGGTCTGCCCTAGCCTATTCCACTGACTCACATCATCTTCTTCCATATTAACCATACCAATTTTCATCATCCCCTTCCCCATAACCCCATTCAAAAAGCTTGGCACCTCTATCTTGCTCATATTTCCCTTAGGCCTTGGTATGTTGACTTTGGTCTCCTCCAATACCTGCTTCATGATCTTAACTCCATTATCCATCTATATACATACACAATCACAACGAAAACCAATTAAGGAACATTGTTAATTAAACACTTATCAAAATGATTAATGATTAATGATCAAATTAACAAAAGCCCAGCCTCACCTTACCTTGTGATGGCACTCTCGCAACGAGCACCTAATGAGAGAAGCTGCGTTCTCATAATAGATGGAGGAAGACGGCTGGAGAAGAATGGCAGCATAGACAACAAAAAAGAAAGCAAGGAAAACCAAGTTGATTCGGATGACCAAAGCAGCTTTAGAAGGAGTGGCCTTCGTAATCTTTTGAAGGCCAACATGTCCTTCAATCATCTTCACCAAAAGCTATCTGGCCAGGTGGGTTGCCTCAATAGGGGATCCTATATATATATATATATCTAACTATGCTCTCTGTGATTAGGTTTAATTAACACAAGTTAATCATGAGGATTAGAATATATAATATGTTTGTGAAAGGAATTAGCTGCAGTGGTTAGAGAACTCAGACAACGAAATTAGAGTAAATCTCAAAGAAAGCAAAACCATTTAATACGCTCCAAGTGTCGTTTCCTTTCTTTTGGACTTCCTTCCTCTAGCAGACAACAACAAACAAGGTCGGAGAATAGAAAGCTTTACTTATTCCGCGTAATTATTCACCTGACAGTAATACTATTATGTCCTTTAAATATGTGGACAATTTCTTTCTTTGTTTTTTTAATTCCTTACCTTAGTTTGTCTCCACTCTCCACTCTTGTCCATTTACAACTTATCTTTACATTTTATAACTTCATCAACATGTTTGAATTTTCGATGATAGTTCAAATTCTGACAACATAACATAACAGATATCTGAGAAGAGACTATGTTTATCATTTCACTATATCAAGAAGTATTTTCTAGCGCATAACAAATCCCAACAAATGAAAATGAAAAACACGGTCTCTTCTCATGCGTTAAATATCTAAGAAGAGACTGTGTCTATTAACTTATGTAATATCCATTTTGTAATGAAATTTGTCTTGTCTTCCCGTTAAATAAAAGCAATGGGATATTAGTAAGGCAGAGTGAGAAATGGTAGTATGGGTACTTTAAAGTGAACATAAAGGTATCCCAAGCTAGAAATCTTCAAAGAGGGACAGCCGGCCTTCCAACTCCAACAACTAATGGTTGGCCGGTCAACTTCCTGCATGTAATGCAATGTCGCTTTTACCCCTAACGAAATAGTGAGGCCTCACCAATATTCCATTTTCTCTAATAATTTTCTCCCCCCTTATAATTGTTATTCATATTATATGCTTGTTTTAGGTTAGACATCATCACATCAGAACATCACGGATCATAAAATGATTACAGGACATGTTTTGCACGATCTATCTATCGTGTGGTAAACAATCACCATTTTTATTTAATGTTGACATACTTGATTTAGGACCAACTGATGATGGGGGACCTCAAGTGTTGTTAGCCTATGAATTTTAATTAATGTAATACTTCTAACTCCTTTTAATTTCTTGTACTAAATTTTTTTTTTGGTACGTAAGAGGTTTGTAACAACATTTCTGTGTACACTTAGTATTGCTTGTATTAAAAAAAAAAAAAAAAAAAAGGCTAAATTGTAGCAATGGTTCCTGAACTAAGGCCAAACTTTACTTTTCGTCCCTCATATTGTTAAATTGTTACGGTGGTACTTTAATTATGCACCCACTTTTAGAAATCGTCATTTCAGTCAACTTTTCCATGAAAAATGATGACATGGCATGAACAATTCCTACTTGGCATGGGCAAAAATATCTTTTCAAATTAAAAAATAAATCTCCTCTACCCCCCAAATTTCTTATTTCCCCCCTACACCCAGATTTCTTCTCCCACCCAATAACCCACATCAGACCCCACCAATTTCTCCTTTAGATATGGAATATTGGCTCCAAGTCTTTCTCTCCCCCACACCCATCTATTTGATGAGATAACACACATCAGACCCAAATCCTCCAACAAAACCAAACAACAAAGGAAAGAAAATAAATAAATAAACAAGCCTCAGTGGACGATTTTTTTTTATCTTTCCTGTAGTTGTTGGGGTTCTAGGTTCATGGGGGCGGGTGGTGGTCACGGGGAATGGGGGGGGGAAGAAGAAATCGGTGGGGAGAGAGAGGTTTTTTTTAATTTTAAAAAAACACTTTAATCAATTTAAAATTAATGAAAAGACAAATATACCCTCATTTTTAACGGAAAAGTTGACTAATATGACAAAAAGGACGATTTCTGAAAGTGGAGGCATAATTAAAGTACCACCGTAACAATTTAGCAATATAAGGGACAAAAAGTAAAGTTTGGTCTTAGTCCAGGGACCATTGCTACAATTTTGCAACAAAGAAAAAAACATAATTCATGGTTTGAAAACTTTATTAAAGACAATTTAATGCCAATAGGGTCTATTTCTATTCTAATAGAAAATGACATTAACTTGTAGACCTGTGATCTCATGTTCAAACCTCCATAGCACCTTGATTGTGTGTGTAAGAAATCCCTCCTCCCCTTGTGAGTTTGTATTCAAAAGGACAAATTAAACATTCATTTCCTTCCCAACCCTCTACTCTAGAAACTTCACCCAATTTCCACTCCCTTCATTTTCCCAGTACCTAAAATGACGAAAGCTGCAAAAATTCAACGCATCACCAAATACGTAGAATCATACAAAACCAAAACACCAAATTCTCATATAATATTACACCGGAAGCGAAATTTCCTTGTGGCAAACTATTTTCCCATAGCAGGTTAATCAAACTTTGCATAAGTTGGTTTGGGGGTTGGTGGTTGACATTTCTTTGCGGCAACCTTTTTTTCATGGATAATCAAGCTTAACATTATTACTTCTTAATAGAAAAAACAAAAACATGCATGGATAATTTGTTTGGACATTTGGTCATCAAGTTTGGGCCCATTTCCACAACAATCCTTAAAGTAGCACCCAAACACCGTCGTTTTACCAGACACTAAACTAGTTGAAGACTTTCAACATGGTGTTACACAGGGGTCGAAAAGCAACTTTAAGTAGTTGAAGACTCTAACCCCTCTATGAAATCAGAAACTTTAATACACTCCCTAGATAACAATGATATCAAATTTATAAAGCTGTACAAGTACAGTTTGGCAATTCACCAACCTCCACCTCCGTCCACTGTTGGCAATTCGCCCAACTCCAACGAAACATATTCAGGTTGTTCCATTTTTCTATTGTCTCTTCTAACCTCAGCTTCCCTTTGCATATCATTGACCAACTACAAGCCTCTAGCTCTGACCTGCTTTATTATGAACCTCTGGAGACATGCTATTGAGCTCACTGCCCAGCAAATCCTTGTATGGTTAGTTGAAGATGGACTTTGTAGGCTTCAGGCTTTAACCACATCCTGAATGTGTTGGGAGTAGCTTTTTCCAGGTGGAATGAAAATCAGATCTTCCCAGCCTGAATTCTTTTCACTTAACTGCATTCACATTAAAAAAAAATTCAGCAAAGATACTAGAAAGTAGGAACGTAAGAACATGTAATTCTTGCAGTAACGGGACTGTTTACCTCCATTTTTCTCAAAACATCTTCCAAACTACCAACCTGTTGACACATTTTAATGAGATGATGAGAACGCAATAATGTAATGAGAAGACTTATCAAATATCTAAAGAAGTTTCTTTATTTTATATAATACCATAATATGTTCAGAAACTGGTCCTCTGGACGCTCTAGAGACCTTTGACAATTCTCTTTCAATATCTTCCTGCGTAGTGGAAACAAAATTTAGCTTTGGCTAAATCAATCTCCTAAATGCTAGTTACAAAACAAAGTAACACATCAACAAGAGCTCAAGGCCTGAAATTCAAACCCACCTTGGTGAAATATATTGGGCAGTAACGCTTGTTTCTCTTCTTCATAACCAGAAGGTCCGACTGTAAACACAAATTACTCATAAGATGCATTGCCATATTCACTCATGAGCAAGCACCATGACAATCAAATCTACTGCATGAGGATCACCCAAATAATGCCCAAAAATTGCACTAGATTTGAGGACACTACTGCCTGGGCACTTACATTAAACTTATATTTTTTCAACATACAATGCAAATGCACTACTCCTATGTGAACTGCAGTCATCCATATTACGTGTTACAAAGTTGGAGGTGTTCATTTCCTGGATCATCCAACCCAATAGTTGCATGTTTTGAAGTACTCCTGCAATCAAATAAGGCCATTGTAATAAACAAGTAGACTAGACTAGCCTACCTGAAAAACAGGAACTCCATCAAACGCACTCTTGTCAGCGGATTTGAGCTACAAAACAGAAAATAGCTTGTTTCAGAAATGAAATAATTAAGTCAGGAAATAAATATCCAGTTTGAATTGTTGTCAATTTTTACAGGACAAGCAGTTGATTTTCTGTCACAACACAGTTTAACATGTTGCATCTGACATATCCATTTCATCAAAGCTCCTCATTCCCACTATGCACTCGAACATCAACACTAAAAAGTGTTTATATGCGGGCCTCTATGACATCAATTCCTAAATTTTCTTCTAAATACTATTTCTAACACAAAAGGATTTCCTGTATAGTGTATAGCACACACGGCTATTTGGGATGATAAGACCACAAGAATTAAATAAAAAGGTCAATAGTTTCACATAAGAAGCAAATACAAAATGAAAAAGATGCCGACAGACAGTCACCAAAATATTGTAAAAGCTATACTAAGTGAACAGATGGGGCACTGACATGGCTTAGCATGAGACACGGCCAAAGGACATTCTTGAAGTAGAAACATTACAGAAACAAACCTCGAGTGCATTCCTTATTTGAACTGGATCAGGCAAAAACCGGAACGCAATTCCTTCAACCTTCAGCATGTATACCTACAAGATGAAGAGTGAGCAAGTTCACAGGAAAAGTCATAATATGAAAACTAAGTTCCCATCTGATACTAGTTCCAATATCAACTCAGTACCCAATTAACCAGCATTATCAATTTAGAACTACCACTACAAAGATTTCAGACAGCTGAGCTCCGAAAAGTCACCTGGTCGAGAGTAATCGGGACAACCTTAGCCGCACTTCGTAACTCTCTCCTCGAACGAACCTGAAAATCCAAACCACAAAATAACACACGCATACTTCGAATCAATAACTTCTCAACAGTCCCAATTTACTCAACACTTTTTTTTTTCTTTGGTTGAAAAACTAAAAAAGCATCTCAATTACACTCAAATTAGCCTAAATGCAACTAATTGCTCCATCTTATTAAGCTCTAAAAGCAACTAATTGTTCCACATTAATAAGCTCTCCCTCCAAAAAAAAAAAAGAGAAAAAAACTAACTTGAGCTAGGAAGGCTTCGGCATCTTCGTGGCGAAAGCAGAGGAGGCCAATGGACTTGGCTTCATTGGGATCAGAGATAAGCACAAACTCATTGTTCGAATTGCTAACCGTATACACCGCCGTGCCGGCTAGGCTCTTCGCCACGTGGTCCGAGCTGATGGTCGCGGCCAAGGCGTGATTGCTCTGAGACAGCCACGCGAAGGGCGGAGCAACCGGAGCCGAGCGCATACGCCTGCTCGCCGCCGGCGCCAAGCTTCCGGCGAGGGTTCCGGCGAGCCGCTTGGTGTCTTCGAGACGGCTGGAGAGCTCGGCGCCGAGGCGGAGGCAGTTCTGGTGTATGAAAGTGGAGAGCGAGAGCAGAGGGTTTGAGCGCCCGTAGGGCTTTGGGGACTCCATTGTCTTGTCTCAGTATACTATGTGAGAGAGAAGCAGAGCAAAATGGCGTTTTGATAAGGTTGATTTTGACGAAACACGTTTATAGAAGTAGCGGTTTCAGGAGAGGGTTTCCTTGGTTGCGCTGCGCTGCGTCTTTTGAGAACCGCTATCAAGCCAAACGAGTTTGTAGTTTTGTTTTTTTTACCAATCCAAAAAAAATAATATTTTCTTGGGCTAAATATTCCAACCCATGGCCCAATCTACCATCAACCCATACAGTTCAAAAGCTCAGTTAATCCAACCTCTGCAGCCCAACAGCCACAATTCTGGCTCCATATATTTTGGAATTCAAGTAGAAAGATTAATTTCTGATTATAACAAATATAACATGTTACTAGCACTTAATTATACTGATTACACTATAGTACCAATAATGTCCCTTTTAACCCTTTCAAGAGGCTTCACAAACCCAAAAGTTGAATTCTTCCCTTCAATCACTGCCACTATTGGCAGATGAAGCATTTTACTGTTATAAACTTTTGGTATTTGGAGCAATAAATATGCATAAACCTTTTGACCATTTTCAAACAAGCATCTCCAAGGAAAGGAAAGCATGTATTATTTAGCATTTCTTTCTTGAGAAAGCATCTACAAGAGGTTTTGTAGTTAAAGTGCTTAAGAGAGTTTATATATGCATTCGAGGTCTTGTGTTAGATTCATTTATTCTTCTATCTATTGATTTTTGGGATTTAATTGTTCAATTATTTGTAATTCCATTGATCTATGAATGTATTTGAATGAAGTGATGTAAAATTTCAGAGGGACGGGCCAACGGCTCCCCACTATTAGCAATACCAATATTATCTCCAACTTAACCATCTACAAAACTCAGTAGATGTGAGTTTTTATCACAAAATGTCTCGGTGATATTAGTAATGGAACCATCCATTAGATATTATATTTTATTTAGTAAAATAACATATGTAAGGTGAAACAAAATTTTAGTGCGTGTTTAGCGGTAGAATATATGCAAGGTGGAACATAACAAACGTGGACATACAAGAGAGAGGCCTATATAAATCAGCCAACAAGGCTAAGCTAACAAGCTAAGCTATAAGCCTTTTTTCTAGTGTCTAGAACAATTAATTTCAAGTAAATATATTATGATTAGGGGCATGGTTCCTCAGATTTCCATTAGGGAAGAGGTTAAGTTTAGGGAGGCTCATGTTCCATGGCGCAGGGAGATGGTGGTGGAAGTGTTCAAAAGTTTTGCCAAGGACGGGCAGCTTTCCAAGCATGAGTTAAAGGAAGCCTTCGACAAACTTGGGTCGCGTTGGAGCACTTTCAGAGCTTGGAGAGCTTTAAGCTATGTAGATGCCAATCAGGACGGCCTCATTTCTAATGATCACGAGTTCAAAGCCCTTGTCAACTATGCCTTAGAATGTGGCTATGAACTCTAAATTATTTTCTACAGTCTACCGGCCTTGGTAATTTACTTCTTCTACTCATGTTAGGAAAAAAAAAATGTTTGTGTAGTAGAGTAGTGTCCTTTTTGTCGATAAATTATTGTATGGTACTGAAATAATTTCAGTATAAATGAATATTGTGACGATCTATAGATTGTTTATCTAATTTTTCAATAACTAAGACCATATATATACCATTTGTGGTGTCCAATAACCTTTCCTCAAAACCCTTGCTCTGAATAAGGCAGTTAAGCGTGTATACTCTCATACATTCGTAAAGAAAGGTTTTGTTCTTATTTCTTCAACTATTAAATTAATAATCCATTAAATTAGGACACGTAAGTCTAACTAAAATTGATTATTAGTGAGAGCCAACTGGGTCTACTATAGTGAAAAAAGGCATTGACTTGCAGACTAAAGGTCTCAGGTTCGAACTCCCATAACATTTTAGTTGTGTGCGTGTGTGTGAAACCCCTTCCTTTATAATTTAAACTGTAATAAAAAAAGTACCAATTAGTGAGCAAGTTCATAGGTAAAGTCATAATTATGGAAACTGGCGCATATCCTCCAAACCATATATACTAGCTTAAGTCCAATCTTCAACTCAGAAGTCAGTACCCAATTAGCCAGCATAATCCAGAAAAAAAAAAAAATTTCTTGAACTAAATAAATTTCCACTTTCAATTGTATTTAGTGGTCCACTCCACCATCAATCCATACAGGCCCTGTTTGGTGGCTTGGACTGGACAAGACTTTTTCAATTAAAATGGATTACAATCCTGTCCGTCGTTTGGTGAGCTTAAATGCACAATGGGATAGGTTAGGACTCATATTTCCTATTGGATAACAATCCAGCAAACCCTAGTATTGTAAACCTGAGGGGAACCACGGGTTTAGAACGACATCGCCTCCTTTCTCCTTTCTCCTTTCTCCTTTCTCCTTCGATCGTCTACAGCCTCCACTTCCTCTCTCCTTCGTTCTTCTACGCCTCTGCTTTTTCGATTGTCTACGCCTCTTCCTCCTCCTCATTGGCTATCAGCTATTTCATACCCAGAGGTGTTGGATCCCGAGCAAGCAATGAAAGCGCTATCTGGTAATCTAATGACTAAATACTATTAGTTGGATATGTTGTATGTTTTCTCTTCAAAATTCCAGATTTAGCAGGGTTGACATACACTATCATGGCCTGATATATTTTCAGAGTGTTTTAATTACTGGCTATTAGGGTGTGGTTTGAAACTGTGACTGATGGGGTGGGGGAGCTTGGACTTGGAGTTTTCTTGTTTTTGTGAAATGGGTTTTGGAGGATTCGGGTTTTTAGGGAGTGTGTGATTTGCTGTTTTGGTGAAAGATATATGCAGAAGGGTTATGAACTTATGATGATGATGGGGGTGGGTTTTTGTGTTTTGTTAATTGTTTTGTTTGTTGGAAGAAGAATGAGATATTGTGGATGGTTGGGGTTTTGCAGGGTGGGTTTTGGGAAATATCTGGTGTAGAATTTATGATTGTTTGTTTGTTTGTCCACAAATCTTCTAGGGTTTAGTGTTGGACCAACAAGTCTGAATTTTGGGTTCATACTTGCATTTTGAATGTGCCAGCAAAGATTGCATGTTAGCTATGATTTTGGGTGATTAATTGGAGATTATGAACATCAGTTTCTAGTGCTGGTCCTTATTGCTATCAATTTAAAATATTTTTTCAAGTCTTATGAGTGAGTTGGGTTCAAAAGCAATTTTAAAGTCATATTTTATTTTTTTTAATTATGAAAAGTTTTTGTGTCAGTTGCTTGATCTGCTGTTTTATGTAGTTTTTCAAAGGCATATAGTTCTTTGGCCAGTTCATAAACCTTTTCAACCAGAGAAACCTTTTCAACCTTTTCAACCAGAGTGAGTTGGGTTCACTGTTTACCTCTCTTTTTTGGTTTGATTCCCCTTCTACTTGTTATTCTTGTCTTGCGTCTGTTAGAATTGCATCTGTTAGAATTAGAGAAACAACGTTTATGTTTGAGTCTGTTAGTTTATGTTTGAGTATAAAAAAAGAAAGTCACAGATTATGATTTTGTTCTTGCCAATATTGTTAATGGCAGGGTAGACATGAATCGAAAGAGAAAGAGGAAGATTGGGAAAGAGAAAGAGGAAGAATTTTTGTGTTATTATTAATTTTGTCAATTTTGGGACTATTTTTATGGTATCTTCATGTGATTTCTTATTTTTAATTTTGTCTACATGTTTTTTATATTAAATTTAATTATTTCTGATATTAAATAATTTTAATAAACATTAAAATATATTTTGTTTGAAGTCCAATGCAGCCCAGTCCATACTTGTACCAAACAACGGACTGGACTTTAGTCCAGTGCAGTCTAGTCCAATTTAATGTGCCAAACAACTTATGGAGAGGCTAGAATGAGGAGGTTGAGTGAGGAGCTTATTTGAGGAGGTGAAATCTCACCATTAACAACTAAAAACAAAGCACATGGGGGGGTGCATTGGGGGGTCCACACCCCTTTTGATGGTGAGATGGGGCTCCTCAAATAAACTCCTCACTCAACCTCCTCATTATAGAAGCTCCCAACAACTTATTAAAGTCCAACTCAATCCAAGCCAAACCAGTCCAATACTCCAAGCCCAATCCTAACCAGTCCAATCCAGCCCACCAAACAGGGCCACAGTTCATGAGTAGCCCAGTTAGAAAGATTAGTTATTGTTTTTTCCAAATCTATATTTGAACTTTTGTAATATTCTAGTTTATAATTATGTAATATTCTTCACAATATATATATCTTACTTTATAGATTCTATTGAAGAAATTAAAGATGATTGAGGACCCCCACCTGTTTGGGTGATGGGAGTGGATTGTGAGTACTTTTGGTTTCACATATCTCTTATCCATTTGGCATCTAATTTCTTAAGTGGTGATGCTTGTCCCCATCCATAGGGTAAAAATCTCACATTTGAATCTTGATTATCAATGGAAAAATAAAATTAAGAAAAGAAATCAAAAGAAATCAAACTAACTTGTAACTGGCAAGTCAAGGATAACCAAAAGCTCATACGTACATATGATATGATATATACATCCTTCACTTTTATTCGATGTGAGATATTAACCAAACTTGACTTTATTCTTACAAGGACAACAACAACAACGACAACTTGTGGCATACTTTAGTTCTTGTTTGTATCTTTTGAGCATTTCAAATCAAAAGAAGGAAAAACTTCGGTTAGATGGTAATAGGGACCAGCATATTCCATATGAATGCCATGCATATTTGGAGATATAGAAACATAAAACAAGATTCATATTCGTCAACCTTATGCCTTCCACAATTCCAAGATCATAGGGCCTTACAAACTATTATTCTACAAGATTTTTCTTGAGATATACATTGTTGTAAAAGCTTTCATGCCAATGAATGATGGTTAAAATATCTTGGGTTTGTATCTTTATAATGCAATTGCTGGATCATTATCCTAATTAATTATATTATTCAAAGAAGGTCCATCATGAATTGTTCCATCGCTTCTCCCCACTCTTCTTTTTTCTTTTTCTAAGAATGATTGTTTTAAGCCATCCGATATTTATGGACTTTTTGAAGGCCCCCCTGGCCGATTCTGATTCGCACCAATCCCAATTATTAGTTTGATTGGTCCGTTTAGATGAGGGAAAATAACTCGGAATTTAACTGAAAGTCGTGAATTTAAGAGGAGAAATTGACAATTCCCTTGTTTGGCAACTTAAGCAGGGAACTTATTAAATGACACGCGGAAAAAATAGTGGAAATTGGGGCATCAAATTCCCGAGTTTAATTTCCATCAAAATAGGCATCATTTTACAATTTTCATAGTGCCATTTACAAAATTCTATCGTTTACAAAATTTGACATACATAAATCCAAACACTGAAATTTTCAATTGCCAGAAATTGAAATGATAGAAACCTAAATTCTGTCATTTTAGAATTCTATGTAATTTTCAATTCTTTCATCCAAACGGAGGGCTAAAGATAAAAACATACGTATACACAAGATGTACTGCATGACTTTACTATAGCTACCGTAGTATTCTATAATTTTTTTCAAAATTAAGAAGCCCTGGGCCTACAAGACTAAGCTTTCTTAATTTGCTTCATCTGCATATTGTGAGTGAACCCTTTAAAGAGGCTTCACGAACCCACAAGTTGAATTGTTCACTTCAAATCACTGCGAATAAAAAATTTGGCAGATGAAGCATTTTACTGTTACAAACTTTAGGCACTTGTGGTAATAAATAAATAAAAACCTTTTTGACCAACAAGCATCTCTATATTATCACTTTGAAAAGTTCCATGCTTCATGTGCACGCAGAAAATTAAGATATGTATAGAAAGCCTCTATATTTTTGGGATTTGATTATTTATTGATATAATTGGGGCCATCCATTTCATTCATCTACGAGATTCAATTGTTCATAATTTATAATGGAAAGTATTCAGACTCCTTATATGTAATTTATAAAAAGTTTTTTCTTTTTATTGATCTATAAATTATAATTTGTGCACGAACTTTCTTTTATGAGTTTTCAGTAAATCACTTTAATGTATGTGTTAACTTGTGATTTTTGAACTAGAATTTTTACGAGGTCGGGCCACATGTTGTGCATACACAGGGCCAGAGAGGAGAGCCCTATATAAATCAACCTCGAGCTCCATTAAGTATAATTAACCATCTAAATCATATAGTTCAAGTCCCTCGGCAAAGCGAAGCCTTTCTTATTAGCTATATCATGGTTAGATACGTCCCTGCTCCTCCTCAGCAGATGATGGTGAAGGAGGCGTATGTCGTATGGAGTAGGAAGCAGGTAGAGGATTTGTTGAAAAGTTTTGACATGGACAAAGACGACAAGCTTTCCAAGCAGGAGTTGCAGGCAGCTCTCAATAAACTTGGGTCGCGTTGTGGCTTCTTAAGAGTTTTGAGAGCTCTACGCCATGCAGATTCCAACAAGGACGGGATGATTTCTATAGACGATCACCTTGTCAACTATCTCTTTGAGTGCCGGTATAAGCTATAAGTTATTGATTGCTAAGTACAAGATTAATTAGTCTTTGTACTAATTAATCAGCATTATATAGCTCTTTTTATATATACGATTATGTGTGGTAGCGAAGGAAGGAGGTGACCTGTTGTTGCCCCTCTTTGCCAGTGTACATGTATTAGAACCCTGGTTATATATATGTGATGTTTATCTAATTGAAGTGATCATGGCATGAAAATCCATAACATAAAAGTAAAAGAAAACCATATTGATATATGAGTGAAGCAATTCCTTTGCTATAATGACTATCAATGGAGATGAAAGCCTTTCATAATGAGTTTAAAAAACTAGGATCTCTCCACTTATTGTCAATTAGCATTAGGTTGGATGTGTGCGTTCATTCTAACATGGTATAAAAAATCATGCTTTCCATGTGTTATTAGGTGCAAAAAAAAGCGCTATACACAAAAGAGCTTGTTAAAAATATCTCACATTAAGATTGTCTTATGAAAGTTACAGTAAAAAGGAAAATAGCATTGACGCAACGAGATATATGGGAATATGGAGATCAAATGATATCCCTAAACAACAATGTCGGAATCCACTAGAAAATTGAGTAAAACTTAAAGGTATTTGATTGATAATAAGATAGATAATTCGAGATGCTCCAACACATTAATTCCTTTTATACAAGAGAAACCCTAGACTTGCTTGGAAAGCTAATGAGAAACCCTAGACTTGCTAGGAAAGCTAATTAGAAAAATAAAAAATAAAAAATAAAAAATTCCTAGAATACATTCTAAAAACTTTAAAAGCTGAAAAGTCAAAGTAAATGATAGAATTTGGCCAAAATAGCCCATACATCACAATAAAGCAGTGAGTTGTACTTGTCATGCCATTTTCTTCAAAACGATAGGTCATGGGCCTGATTCTGAGCTCGAGGTCCATACTTGCACATATTGGACTTTGCTGGCGCGACGACATGCCATATGATATACATAGAGCATGATATGAGAAATAGAAAAAAGATGAAACGATGGATGGAAAGTGAGAGTGACTATAATAAGCTTTGTTTTCAAATCATTTATCAAAATTATTTTTAACGTACGTACGTATATTAGGGAGCCACCCGATATACTCGACAACTTTCCACATATATATATATATATATATATCCAGCATCCGACAAAAGGCTTACTATAATAGAGTGGTAACGATGTGGCGGGTTAGGACTGAAGTTAGGTACCTCTAAGATTCTTGATATCTATATTTTACCAAACTATTTTGGTATAAAATTGTGGATAATACGGGTGAGGATCAGAAGAGGCCGGCGAAAAGAATCCCATTCATTAGATCGATGCCTATCTTTATTCTCTCGGGGCCCCATGGTCACATAATTGCTTGATTCTAATTCACACCCATCCAAGATATATGTGATAACTAGCTATGGCAAAATAGCACTTTCAAAACAACCCATTTGACCAAGTCAAACAAGAATCTAGCTATCTAGAGTAATGCTACACTGTACACACCCAACATTATTTTAAAGAATAAATTAACTGATATGCATATACATCTACAAATATATATGCTATGATTATTTATTGAGTGAACCATCTATAGATATTATTATATTATCATTCTCATGGGAGGGGAATAATTAAATATTATTTAATTCAGTAACATAATTAAATAATACTTAAATAATACTGAAGTGCTATATAATAAGCCTCTAACCCCTTTTGTAAACGAGCATCTTGCTACATATCTTTCTTTCTTGAAGACTTGTAGTGCGTTACGTTAGAATTAAGCTCAATATGGTAAGAGATCTCCTCGTTCCGGGGTGTATTAATATCACAGAGCAGAAGGGCAGGGTCCAAATTTTCTGGTCTGAGGAGCAATTATTGGATTTCTTCAAAGGTTATGACAAGGATGGAGATGGCAGACTTACCAAAGATGAGGCCAAGGCAGCCTTCGACAAACTTGGGTCGCGTTGCAGCATTTTCAGAACTTGGAGAGCACGATGCCATGCAGATACCAACAGCAAAGACAGGTCCATCCTCAACGTCAACGACCTTGTCAAATATGCCCTAAAACGTGGCTATAAACTCTGATTAACTCAGAAGCACATGAGGGGTTTTAGTCAGCTAATTAATACAATATGTATGTGTATATGTGTGTATGTGTGTACTTATAAGAGTTTTTA